AAAAACTCAAATGTCTGTTGCTAAGAGGACAGAAGATGCAAGAAACAACTTATCCACAGTAGTTGTCTAACCATTATTCTCCTTGACAAACTACTCTTCTATAATTGCCGTTAAAGATGGCCCATATGTATTGAAAATTATTAATAGGTAAAGATGCCTCATAGTCTTGTACATAACTGTATCTTTCAAACAGCTTTAGTGTGGACATAATCTTTAACTTGTTTGACTGAGAAAGATAGTTTATTTTAAAATAAAGATTAGGCAACTTTTAAATCATTAAGGATTATAATGTGTAATTGTACAGGTGTCCGAAACAAAACTGCCAATTAATTTTACTATACCAGCTGTTTCACGCAAGTATCTGATTTGTGATGACGGTAGTAGTAGTAGTATTTATAAAACTGTTTATAATCATAACCATAATTTTTAAAGAGGTGGGCCGGTGAGCCAGCGGAAGGCCTCTGTCAGATGACCAAAAGCTCCAGCTTCGGGTCATCATATGACTGAGACCCGCGTCAGGAAATACTTGTCCTGTTTCCTGACGAACCTTACCTAATCTAATCTTTAGTAACATAATTAGTGTTAATACATTCGTAGGGAAGACCTCATCCCGTAAAGGCCATAATGTGCCCGGGGGAAGGGAAGAAATCAGGTTAGATTCAAATGGAGGAAAGCTTTAATTCCTTGGATCAAGTGCCTTTCACCAACACATTGCAATGCGCTTGAAGGGTCTTTAGCAGCATACATTTACTGGTCAAAGGAAACGTTATCATTAGTTCAAATAACCCACACTTTAAAGACGAAGCTCTAGACAACGTTTCGGTCCTTCCTAGGTTAGGTTTGGTATGGTTTGTCAGAAAGCAGGACAATTGTTTCCTGACGCGGGTCTTATATGATAACCCGCCACTGGAGCTCTTGGTCACATGCCCGAGTCAACCCCTTTCAAAATTTAGGCTTCCGTCCTAGACCATTAACAAGGCACAACTGTTGAAGCTTGATAATTGTCCAGAATGGACCGAAAAGTCCTTCGAAGTTTCTTCTCCGAGGTTCAAACTCCTTGTGAATGGTTCCTTCCACTGTGACTTATTCTTCACTATTATTAGTTACTCCAGGATACTACTATATTTGACAGTCGTCTAGGCTATCTTGCTCATCAAAAACCTAGTATATTTTGAGTGAATTTCAGTATTTTTATATTTAAGCATCCTGTACTTTCTTCCAAATTTTTTATTTATATTTCTTATATGTTTAAGATTAATATCAATAATCATAAAAGTCACACAATACACAAATGTTATCATAAGTGTTGATAATCATTTGCAAAATAAAATGACGATTAATAATGGTTCTAAGGTTATAAACTTATTCCTTCTATATAATTATTGAATCCTTCAAGGTTTTAATACTTTATGACTGCTTGTTAATGTGTGCCAGACACTGGTGATGACACATGTTGCATAACAAGCTCAATACTTGCTTAATAAAGCTCGACACAGAGGGAAACGTTATCCCCATAAAAGCTTCTTTTGCAGTGTATGTCTGCTTTGTTATTGTAGTAATGTTGGTAAAATTACACACAATATGTTAGGTAAAAAGACACTAAGTGCAAATAATGTGACATTTTATTGTGGTAACGTTTCGCTCCTGGAGAGCGAAACGTTGCTGCAGTAAAATGTCGCATTTGTGTCCCTTTGCTTCGCTATTGTCGCCAGAACGTCATTAAGATCGAGTGTATATGTAACAATGTTCTGTAGCATAAGTGAAATTTAGTGTTGGACGAGAACATGACATCCATTGACTTGATTTTTAAAAATACCAAAATTTTGGTAACTGCAGATTTTGCATTCACTATAATCGGATATTAGCCAAAGTTTTCTTAGTCATAATAAAAACCTGGAGTAAAGAAAAGGTCATCGTATCTTAGGACATTAATACTTTGTGAACTTTTGCATATTTAAATAGGGGTAAAAAGCCTAGCTGGGAGTAGGTCAGTGAATGTTTAACTACTTAAGGCGGGGGTTCTTAACCTGGGGTATCCATACCTCTTGTGGGGTATGGGAACCATATAATGGGGGTATGGGAACCAAATAATGGGGGTATGGGAACTAAATATTGGGCGTATGGGACTCAAATAATGGTGGGATGGGATTCAAATAATGGGGGTATGGGCCTCATTCTATGAACAATTTGCCTTTTCTATAAATGATAAAATACTTATGATTTTTCGGCTGTTCTGTTCTTAGCTTATGTAAAGTCGTACGGGTACTTAATAAGATTGGTGGTGAGGATGATTTCGAAGAATGCATGGGAACATACTGGGCAATTCATTAGGGGTCTGAAATCGTAAAGGCTAAGAACCCCTGACTAAAGAAAGAATAATGATTGACCTGTACAGTCAGGCTATGGATGATGGCAACAAAAGTTGGCGAGAATGCACACTTTAATTTACAATTGTTCTTAGGGTGGTTGCACCAGCAATCTCGTCATGGATGTTGATGTTTTCGACAAATTTCCACCCATTCCAAGCAAAATTACAGATGTTAACTTATTTTTGGCAAATTATATAACCTATTTGTTAATCGAAGTTTATTCTAGTTTTATAGTCCTCTGTGTATTAAATTTTAAGTCAGATTTTATTACCCTGTGTCTATATTTTTACTATCTGTTGTCTGTTATATATAGTAATGTATTTTTGTTAACAATTATAAATAGTACATGGAGTGGTTACTACATATTCTACATGATATATTAAAAGGTTAAAGCAAGGTAAATCAGTTTTTTTTTGGTTACTGGGGATAAATAATGCAGTAAGATGTTGATAATCGCGTAATATTCTTTTCATTTAATTACGCATTGCATAATTTTGTTTTATATAACAAAGTGGAAAGAGAACCTGGTAAGAAGATAAATCAGTTTCATTTTTGAATTGTATTAAACAGATTAATAGTATGACTTGTACAGATATATATATATATATATATATATATATATATATATATATATATATATATATATATATATATATATATATATATATATATATATATATATATATATATATATTTAATCTTTATCAAGTTTTTAAATTTGGAAAATACATGCTATAGTATATGTTAATTTTATGTGATTAGCAGTAAAATGGTGAAGGGAGATGGTATTCTTATAATAAATTGTTTAAATTTAAAGTTGTATAAAAATCCTAAGTTAATAATATTTTTTATTGACACATCGACTGTATCTCATCGAGGCAGGTGACCAGAAAAATAAGAAACACTTTAATCATCATTCACTCCATCACTGTCTTGCCAGCGGTGCGCCTACAGCATATCTCCACCCATCCTTCAGAGCACAGGCACTGTACTTCCCACCTCCAGGACTCAAGTCCGGCTAACCAGTTTACCCTAAACCCCTTCATAAATTTACTTTGCTCACACTCCAACAGCATGTCAAGTCATAAAAGCCATTTGCCTCCACTCGCTCCTGTCTGATACGCTCACACACGCTTGCTGGAAGTCTAAACCCCTTGCACACAGAACCTTTTACCCCCTCCCTCCACCCTTTCCTAGGGCGACCCCTACCTCGCCTTCCTTCCATTACAGATTTATACACCCTCCAAGTCATTCTATTTTGTTTCATCCATTCTAAATGTCCGAATCACCTCAACAACCCCTCCACAGTTCTCTGGATACTACTTTTAGAAACCCCGCACTTTCTTCTAATCTCCAAGCTACAAATTCTCAGTATAATAGTCACACCACACATTGCCCTCAGACACGACATCTTCACTGCCTCCAGCCTTTTGGTTGTTTCAACATTCACCACTCATGTTTCATATCCATATAAGAGCGTTGGTACCGCTATACTCTCATACATTCCCCACTTTGCTTCTGTGGATAACGTTCTTGATTGCCACAGACTCTGCAGTGTACCACTCACCTTTCTACCCTCATCTCGTGTTTCATAGACCCATCTGTTGACACGTCCACTCCCAAATATCTGAATAATTCACTTCCTCCATACTCTCTCCCTCCGATCTGATATCAAATCTTTTATTACCTATTTTTTTGTTTGTTATCCTCATCACCTTGCTCTTTTCTATGTTCATTTTTAATGTCCTCGTTTTGCATATCCTACCAAACTCATCCACCAACCTCTGCAATTTCTCTTCAGAATCTCTCAAATGCAATGTCATCAGCAAAAAAGCAACTGTGACAACTCCCACTTTGTTTGATTCTTTATCTCGTAATCCCACACCTCTTGCCAACACCCAAGCATTCATTTTTCTTACAACCCCATCTATAAATATATTGTATAATCATGGTGACATCACATCCTTGTCTAAGGACTACTTTTCCTGGGAAATAATCTCCCTCTCTCCTACATACTCTAACCTGAGCCTCACTATCCTCGTAAAAACTCTTCACTGCTTTCAGTAACCTACCACCTGTTCTTTATAATTGGAATATCTGCCACATTTCTCCCCTATCCACCCTAACATATGCTTTTTCCAAATCCATAAATGCAACGAAAACCTCTTTACCTTCATCTAATTACTGTTCACTTATATGCTTCACTGTAAACACTTGTTCTATACACTCCCTATCCTTCCTAAAGCCTCCTAGTTCATCTGTGATCCTGCTCTCCGTCTTACTCTTAATTTTTCTTTCAATAATAACTCTACAATACACCTTACCAGGTATACTCAACAGGCTTATTCTCCTATAATTTTTACACTCTTTTGTTCCCTTTGCCTTTATACAAAAGAACTACACGTGCTCTCTGCCAGTCCCTAGGTACCTTCCCCTCTTTCATACGTTTATTAAATAAAAGCATCAACCATTGCAGAACTATATCCCCACCTGCTTTTAATATTTCTGTCTTGATCCCATCAATCACAGCTGCTTTTTTCCCTTTCATTCTACCCACAGTCTCATGTAACTCCACACTCACATCTGGCTCTTCATCACTCATACAAGATCTTTTACCTCCCTGCCCAGTGCACGAAACCACAGCTTCATATATATTTTTAGTTGAATAAGGTAGTGTTCTTTTTTTTATTGTAAAAAGTATATCTAGCAATTTTAAGAGATATATCAATTAAGTGTTTTGGGTATTTTAGATCATTAGCTATTTCGTAAATCTTCAAGATTTCTTCATATATGAACTCTGGGCTGCATAAATGCAAAGTTCTCAAAAACATTGATAAGAATACAGAATGTTTAACTCTCTCACGATGTGAAGAATAATAGTGCACATAAGAACGGTTATTTGTTGGTTTTCTGTAAATTGTAAATTTAAAATCATGGTTCCCTTTAATTATTAAAACATCTAGAAGAGGCAGAGTTATTTTGTTCAAACTTAACAGTAAAACTTATGGAATGAGCTAGACTATTTAATTTAAAAAGGAAATGGTTTATATCCTGGTCACAGACCGGGCCACGGGGGCGTATACCTGGAGTATAGACACCTGGAGTATACCCTGTCCACGTATACTCCAGGTATCTATATTCTTAGGCATTAGAAATAAAACATCAACATACTTATACCACTTAGCTCTATTGGGAAGGATTTTGTTAAGCAATTTTTTTTTCAAAGTATTCCATGTACAAATTGCTGAGGATAGGTGAGAGAGGATTTCCCATTGCCATACCAAACTTTTGAGTGTAAAACTCACCACTAAACACAAACTTTGCATCAACAATAGATAGTTTAATATACTCAATGATTGTAGATACTGGCAATGGATAAAAATACAACAGCTGCTTTAGGTTACGGTCTAAGTTTTGCAACTTCTAAAATGTCAGTAATGTGGAAATTGCAAAAGCCTTTTGTAACTTAGAAAAATCCAATGATTTATCCAGTGATGAAATTAATACAAGTAAGCGAATGGTTTATAGTTTTATGATAAAACAAAATATTCCCAATTGCCCTCAAAGATTTTATAAATATGAAAAATTCATTAGTAGAACTTATCTAATAGTGACTCTGCCTCCTCCTGCTTCTACTTACCTGACTGCGATATATAAGCAACTCCACACATATGCTGTAGATTTCTCAAGACTGATGGACTCAACACATCGACTCCAGGCTAGGGAACTGATTACCTCATCTTCTTCTGTTATTCTCTGTATTGGATTGAAGAAGACCGTTCCCTCAGCAAAGATTCACAAATGTTGTACAAGTGTCTCATTATTCAACTTGACGGTTTTTTAAATCATTTACACTGTGAAAATTTGTGTGGACTGCCTCCAAGTGAGTCGCCTACCCTGGCAAACTCTGTTGACACCGAGCTCTGAGGTGGGTACCTCAGCCTCACAAGTGGCTTATAGGACAGATTTTCACAAATGATTGATGTTACAAGAAAACCTCGCCTGCATGCACGTATAAAGGACTAACTTATTTGGTGTTGCAGCATATATCCTGATCTTCACTTCTCTAAGCTTAGCCTTAGCCCCCTTTGGACTTCCCCTCAGAAACCACGTGCAACCGGGAGCCTTAATTCCTGCAATATTCAATCGTAATTAGTGTCCTGCTTGCACCTCAGAAATTCCTATATCCAAGAGGGTATGTATCCCCTAGTATAACTATGCAGACTCAGACACTAGCTTCCAGACTGCTCTGAGACACTGGTACTTACTGGGCATGCTCAACCTGTTGCAACCGGGCCCACAGTCAAAACTCAACTCACAAACTCTCCAGACACTGGCCAGAATTCTACGAGAAATAGTGGTCTTGTCTTACTGTATGGGCCTGACGGAGGTGGTCATCTACGGTACATCGAGGTGCCTCTACCAGATTTCCCCAGGTCTCAGATGTGAAGACACGTGGGGGCGCCGTCTGCTGATCACGGTACGTATTGTCCAGTTGGTGTCTGTCTTAAGAGGGACGCTATTGTCTTTTAGACCCGCACCTCATCATTCAAGCTAGGGCTGCCAGTTCTCCCTAGCTAATTTATCCTAGTGTTTGCCTACATTTTCGGCCTATTACTACCTATGTTAAGGTCTTAGGTCTACATTATTATTATCTACAGTTGCCTTAGTAACCTAATATTAATATACTAACAGTAAAACTACCTACTCCTTCCCTGAAGAATAAATCTATAAATTAAATACATGCCTACCAAGAATCCATCGCCGACCAGAGAGAATGCTGTTTGTTAGGGTGGGGTATAAGGGCCATCCAGCTCAGCCATCCTGTACGGCCATGCTGGATCTGTCCTGTGGAACTTTAGGGACCAAATAAATTTCCACATACACCACATACACCACACAGACTTTGTAGACAGTGTGACAGTGTCAGCGTGCCTCGTTGTGCTCCGGGTTTTCTGGTGTTTTCACGGTCGCTCTTATGTGCTAGAACTTTAATTTGTGTCATCAATCCTATACGATACATCCCTCTAGCGCCTGGAACCAATCTTGGGCGGAAAACATTATATACTGAGTCAAAAAAGGAGAATTAGTGTGCACTACCTAGCAGAGTTTACTGCCAGAGGGGAATCATAGGCCTGTGTCCCGTGTGAAAAAAATATTAATAATTGAACTTTTCGTGTCAGAGGAAAGAAAGTCTCCCTGATAACATTGAGTATACATAGTGTATAGTGTATACTACAGTGGCTCCCTAGTATATTGATGATAAAGGCTAAAGTGTCATTTGAAAACAGGTGAATTTGTAAATGAAGTGATAAGCCTATAGAGGCAGGTGCCAGAAGTCGCCAGAAACTTACCACAGGTCAGCTGTTTTTAATAATCTTCCTGGCTTGCTAGTGTACTCGCATATAATCTAGTGATACCAGTGAATAGCAGAATACAGTGTTGTAGTAGCAACTAACCAGTATTATAATGGTACTTATTGGAGTGGAGTGACTTTCATTAGTTTCTTTTTTCTTGAAATACCAGACATATACTGTGAATTTCATATAACCTGTAGTTACCAGCGGTCGCAATATACACAACGAGAAGCAATTATTACTACAGAAAAAGCGTCCTTCCTCCAAAATTTGCACCAGTCAACTATAGTGATAATATAGCATTTATTGTGGTGGAGACGGAAAAAAAATAGAAAAGCTAGATACAGCGATTGATAAACAAGGGTGGAGGTCGACTGTTCGTCATTGTAGGAGTTGCCAGCAGTCACCGGCTCTTCAACACGCAAGTTATACTTTTGTATCAATCAAATCACAGATTAC